CCTCCAAGAGATTCACACACTGCAAGTCACGGCCAGAGCAGAAAGTTGCTTCCTGTCCTATCTGAGTCATAGTCACACCAAAGTAATGCAATGTCTGCTACTAAGGGCTTCCTTTATGTTTAATTATTTTCCCTTATCATAACACAGTAGGTAATACCATCTGTGAAACCAGTCTTCTGGAGTGTAATGCAGGTATTTTATTTCAAGACCTACCATTGTTGGACTAGCATGGAAAATCTGCAGTAATACATAATATAATGAACAATCAAGCAAAGAAACATTTTGACCATAATTCAGCTCTGTTCTACATAGAGTGTGATGCCATGATCATCTTAGAATGAGGAGCAATGATGAAAACAAGACTATTTTTAACATGTCTAGATGATACAGTAGTAAAAATTTCAGTTAATCATTTGAGATATACCTCTACTAATTCAACCTGCAATACTGACAGTTTTCAGAAGAAGTGCTGCAAACGTGAAAGTTTTCTCATAAAACTTAATAATATATGTGACCTTCACTGGGTAATTGTCATTTGAACTTAAAAAAAAATAAAAAAGCAAGCAAACAGAAGAGATATGGTGCAAAACCCAAGTTCATCCCTGGTTACAGCTGAGAACAAATCCCAGCAATGATGCTGAAATGTGGGCTGTGGAGGACGAAGGGTTGAAGGAAAAATGTTTTGGAAAACAAAAAAAATCTACAATGATGCAAAGAGAATACAGGAAGAGATTTACTTGCACGTTCAAGGGGACTATCGAGATAAAGTCTTGTAACACCCTCAGTCTTCACTAGGGAACTCTGTATATGTATATATATCTATATATATAGCTTCCATAGCAACACAAATCTATTATTAGACATTTTTGCTACATGTAACACTCTAAATAGCCTGATTAAAAGACAACTAAATCACAAAAGCACACTGCATTGGGGAAAATAAGCAATCAAGATATACAACTCTCTCCAATGCTTAAATGTGGAGGGTAAGCAGGCTGCAGTGAGGTTGCATAACGATCAATGAAAACAGAATTTGGCCTCAATTAAGAAAATCTCTATTGTCACGATAAACTAGCAAGGAAAGACATGAAACATTACTGAACATCTGGAATATATTCCAAGAAGTGAATAAAGATGACAAATTCTATGTACAATACTGCACAGTAAGAAGGCAGCAACCATACAGAAAAAAAAGTGAGGCACCACTTTTCCTTTTCAATCCCATTTTCAGTTATTCAATCTTTTCTCAAAGAGATCTTTCCGACAATGTATTTTCTTCACTTTGGTCCGAAACCCAGAAGGTTATCTCTTGCATTAACATTTGACAACATTACAGTTATTTGAGCAGGGACAAGAGAGGGAATAGGGAAAGAGAGACCTTTTGTGCCATTACAAAGTGAGCCCAAAGCTCTTCCTGTTCATGGGGAACACAAGCAACAAGGAAAAGTTATTTTATTCAATGCTGTTAAAAGCAAGACTCGAGTTCTATAAGGCCAGTACCAAATTTAGGACTGAAGTTTTTGGTCAGGTGCAAGCCAAGCTAATCTGAAGGGAGAAATCCTCAAGTCTGTAAATAAATTAACCATCTGGACAATCTCTCTGACTGAGCAGACACACAGCCTCCAACAATGAAGATTTTGGAGACATGTCAAGTCATTTACGACTCTCCCTTTCTTGTAACTCCTGCCGACTACATGTTGTAGTATCTGTCATGAACATGAAGATGAGAATATTCCTTTCCTCTTTGCCACACTCTTTTATAAGAAATCTATGTCTGTTGGGTGTTTCTTCAAAGGCTTCTCTTCTTTAAGCAATAGAAGACCACAAGTTAATATTTATCAAATTATAAAAAATTGAGATTCTTTATCTCAATAATGTTCCTGAACCAGTGGCAATGAATGCATTAATACAGTAAGACTATGGCCAGAAGCATTAAAAGCAATTCAGTATCCAAAAGGATAGTTCATCAAAGCAAAAGTATCAGAAAGGGGTTTATATCCACTAGGTTCTGATGAACTTTCACTGCAAGCATTATATAATCATGGAATTATTCTGGCTGTAAGGGACCTTGGGACGTCTCTATTCAAACCTGCTGCTCTAAGTATGTTCAACACTAAACTCAGATTAAGTTTGCTCAGGGTTTTTTTGCTCAATTTGGTTTTAAAAACACCCAGGTATGGAGATTTCACAATGAAGAGTTAATGGTCTCATCAACAGGACTCAAACTGAGCAAAGCAGAGATATCTGACACAACAAATTTACGCACTAAGTTTTGTAGTATATAATAGTCTAAATAACTTCCTTCTAGCACATTAGCGCCTTTGACTTAATTGTTCACTTTGCACTTACAGGACACCATCATCCTTCTAGTGCCTTTTTACAGGTATAGAATTAAGGATCAGAACAATTGTCATTGAAGGACTGAAAGCGAGTTAGGTACCTAAACAATTTTAAAATCCTCTCATTAGTATTTTGTTCAACATCGCAGAGAATGCAATTGGAAAAGAATAAAACTGAGCCTCGTTCTTCTGCAGACAGAAGAAGTAAATCACTCCGGTGACCATTGAATGAAAGACTAACCTCATTCTTTCTCCTTCTTCACATCAGAAAGACATGGCATGAAAACATGTCAGAGTTGAATATATTCAGGATATTCAGTCCAATGTCTCATTTCACATCACAATCTGATTTCCTACAGCAACTCTTCTTGTTCTACATTCTGTTACTTGGTAAACGAAGTTACCTGTGGTAAATCTTTCAGTACTGCAAGTGCAAAAGATCCTAAGGAAATTTTAGGCTATTGTAGCATACAAAGTAAGAGGAAAAAAATTCCTTAGCCGACCTCACTGAAAAACAAGAGCAACTTTTTTTTATTCAAAAATCACCACATCTTTTTGGCATTTTTTGTTTACTGGCTGTAAAAAGGACTCAGTTGTCATGAAAGTATCTAAAAAAGAATTTGTTCTGTTAAGAAAAGAAATATCAGTTGTTGAATTATAAATGAAGACTTTAATCTAAATCTCAAAATTTTCAGACACCAAGAAATGGCACAGAGGCAAAACACTCACACATATACAGAACAGAGAGAAGACTGGTTAAGCAGATGGGCCACAGGCCAGTGGCTACACAAACCAACAGAGAAGAAGAAAAGGGGCAAAAATCACTCTGGAAGGTAATGGAAGCTGTAGTATAGATATGCATATGCCATTTCCTAAGAAATTAAATTGAGTTCAGTTGTCCCAACCCCTGCAAAATAATCTGTATGATTAATACACATATACAAATACACTGAAGAGAAGGGAGAAAGATAACTTCAGGGTCTACTGATGATATTTAGACAAACTGTCAAAAGTGAATTGCAAGAACATTTTACAGTCTTTAATATTTTCAAAATTTTAAAATTAGTTTCAGAATTTTGACCAAAGCTCTTCCCTTTCCATTTCATTTTAGAATGTCTCCAAATTTCTGTGGTTCTTTTTCCCACAGCTGCAGACACAGTTAGACAAACTCAAAAGCATAACCTCCCGGCCCTCATCTCCTGACCAAAACAAGGAATCTGTTGCCTGAATCATCTCAAAGGTTCTGAACACAGATTAAATTACTTTGTATGTGTCTTTCATTTTGAAGTATAAGAAAATAAACAAACAAACAAAAGAGCAGACCATGAGTTGGTACAAGGCAGTCAAGTCATCTGAATTGAGAAAAACTTGCTGATTGATACCAGCTGACAATCTGTCCCAACATGTTACCCAAGAAGATTTGCTTTACAAACAACCCACTTGCTCTGCCAGGAATAAACACAGTTTCAAATGGATACACTGGGCTGGAAAGCCATTAGAGATTAAGGTAAAATTAAACACATTCTCACACTTTTTCTGACAAGAAAGCCATCACTGTGAAGGATTTAAGTATTTTCATTCCCTTCTTTTTTGCACTACTTTTTCTAAGATTCATTTTTGAATGCATCTGAATCAACCATAAGGAAAAAGAAAGAAAAGAGAATTTTATCAAGTCAACTTACTTTCAAGCAAGTTTACAAAACCTTATGGAACTGGATAGCTATGACAACGATATCAACCATGTGAAAATATATAACCTGGGTCTACTAAAAATAAAACCCAGAGACTCTGCAGCAGATTAGAATGCACATTATCTGTGCTTTAATCCCATGTCAACTTTCCATTGAAATCCATTCCTGAGTATGACATAGTGTTACAAAACATTGTGTTATGCAGTCACTTTTTCTTGGACTCTCAAGTTCTGAGAAGCTTTTGAGCATTTTTCAGAAAACTTTTAATCATAAGTCTATCCCTTTGGATAGAAGTGTTTTTCAAACAATTGAAATGGTGTACCTGTGGATAACTTCCCAAGAGAGACCAGTATCCAATTTCTCCAAGTTCTCTTTTTGGGTTTATCTGTTGGCGGTGGATATTGCCCTTGCTAGATCAAACTACTCAAATCCTCATTCAACCATTCAGAATCCAAGAATTTATTATTAGAAAACAAAACTAAAATTCTATAGATTACAGTGATTTACACAGAACAGAGGATCTATGAGAATGACAAAGACTGAAAAGAACTAACACTTATTAAAGAAGTCCTTCAGCAAATATATATAATACAATGGATTAGAAAGAATTTGCCATCATGAGCCCATAGCTTGGCTAATGTTTTGATGACGAAAAGTGAAGCTCCGGTCATCTGTTGGGCATGTTTGTGTTCCTGTGAGCCTGTCTGCAGCTGGGAACACCAGGAAGGAGGAGAAGAGGGGGAAGAATAGCTGTCCCACACTTGACTGGTTCTTTTTCTTCTCAACAGTGTTCACTTTCTACTCCTAAACAACTGTCAGAAGTATCCCAGTAACTTCTTACTTGATCTTTTCCCACTTTGAAGAGTTAACAGACAGTTTGTGTCATCCTTATTAGCAAATGCATTCTGCCCCTTTCCCATCTCCCAGCATCCCAATTTTCAGGGCAAAAAGTAATGTCCGGGTCACTCACCCCTAACATCTGATACAAATAATAATACTGTAGCCCTTGATAATAGAGCAGGAAGGTTTTCCAGAAGAGCCATACATTGAGGGAGAGCCAGAAAAACTGAAAAGAAACAGAAACAAGAGATAGTAAGTGAAAGTTACATATGCGAACTTCCGTGTTAATTTCATTCATAAAACTCATAAGTCTGTAGTTTCATAAATACATGTAAATGGATTGGGAAAACAAGCTTCAAGCACTTAGTATAAAGATACTTTAAAATATTAAAAGGAATAGCCTCTCTGTGTGAAATTCTCACTTTCCTCGAACTTCACAAAACTTTGTGTCTTAAGACAACCGAGAGCTGGCGAGGCCCCCCCAAATCTTCAGCTGGATATTGCAGCTAAAATACTTAAGGAATAAAAACCAGCAACAAAGAGACAAAGGAAGGAAGAACTTGACCTCCAAGAAGCTGCATCCTCTCCCTCAAACTTTCCCAAAGAGAGCCTAACAAAGAGCAAACAAACACAACGTGTGCCGATCCCAGCCGGTCACGGACTCCCGCGCTGTCCCGGGCCGTGGCACCCGCGTGCACCCCTGCCAGCCGCGCACCGGGACAAGCACGGAGCACATCTCACCGCCCGCCCGAGCACCGGCATCCCGCAGGCGCCCTGCCCCAGCCGTGCCTCACGGCGGGCACGGCAGCACCTCCTGCAGCCCCGGACCCGCGGTGCCCGCCGAGCCAGTTGCAACCCGGGCCGGCCCCGCCGCCTGCAGCTCCCCCGCGGCCCCTCCTGAGCCTCCTCCGCGGGGCAGCCCCTCTGAGGGGACCCCCTCGGGGCCGCCCTTACCAGAAAGAGGTGCTTGCTCCCCTCGTTGGCCAGCCAGCTCCTCCAGGACAGCGCCATGGTGCGGGACGCCCGTGGGGCAGCACCGAGGGCTGGGGGGGCGCCGGGCGGGCGGGCGATCCCTCCTTTTCAGCCGGGCCGGGCCGCCCTCCCCTCTCCCCACCCCTCACCCCCCGCCCTGTCTTCCGGCCGCCGGGGCGTTGTGCTCCGGCCCCGCCGCGCCTCCCTCCAGCCCCCCGGCCCCGGCCCGGCCCGGCCGTGCTGCCCCTTTGTCCGCCCCGGGCCCCCCGCGGGCGCGGCGCTGCCCCGGCACCGCAGCGCAGCCGGGCGGGAAGAGGGTGCTCGGAGGGGGCCACCCCCGAAGGGACAGCCTGTCCTGCCAAGGAACGGTGTGGCCGCATCCTCGCATCCCCCCCAACCTTGGAAAGCGGGTTTTCCCCACCGAGAATCCTGTCCGTGGGGATCCCCCTTGCCTCAACCCCCCCCGACATCCCCGCCCCGGCTGAAATGTGATACAGAAAACAGGAGGGAGCGGGGAAGCAGCCGTGCATGCAACTGCTCTGCAGTTCTGGTAAAACAAAGAGATTGTCCAAGAAACTACTGTTCGGTCAGTACATGAGGCCCTCTAAAGCTGGGAAGAGACGAGAGTCTGATCCTGCTCCATCAGGTGTCCCTGGAGCACACTGGAAGTGGCCGGCTCCTGTGTGCAGGCACAACGGGTGTGCAATCGAGCCGCAGCTAGGAAAAAGCAGCTATGGGCACCTCCACACTGACAGTGTCCTGAGTTCAGATTGATACACGTCGCAATCAGTCTGCACTTAGTGGTTGTCTTCATGTTTGGTTTGGGTTTGGGGTGGCTTTTTTTGGTTTTTTTTTTTTTGAGGGAAGTTGAGCCAGATACTGATTTTTATATTAAGAAAAAGCTTTAAAAAAATTGCTTGTTGCTAGCAGCTTTCAAACACAACACCCTGATGAGTCACAGGGGAGCTCCACTTTAAATCAGGCATTGTGGTGCACATGCTGCTCCTTGAGATAGCGGCAGCAGTGACAGCTGGCAGCAGAGCAAGGCTGGTTTTCTGGGAAATGCCGGGTCCAGGCACCAGCAGTGAGAAGCCTCATCCAGTCCAGCTTGAGCTGGCTATCTTTCTCTTATGACTCGGAAAATTGACACTTTTTGTGCTCCTCGTGAGCCACAAGGGTCCAGAGAAAAAACGGAAGAAAACAAAGTATCATCTTTCTCAGGTTCCGTATAAAGCAGAGGGAGTGTCTGACCCATATGTGGCCCTGACAGTAAAGAGTACAAGTAGGGCATGGCTCCTGTGAAACTCAGTTGAGAGTATTTTGGCTGCAGCAGGACCCCTGTCTCAAACGAAGTGGCAGGATTTCTGTAGCTGTATGAAGTGCTAGGTGAAGTTTTGAAGCAGCAGAGTAGAAGATTACAGCTATTTTATGTCATTAAATAACACTAAAAGGAGAACCAGTGAAGGGGTAAATACATATTTTGGATTTAAGATTCAACAGAACCACACTTTGGTGCTAAAGCAGCCCTAACAGCAAAAGCAATAGTACAGTTTATTTATCTTGTTTGCTATTTCCATTCATATCCTTGTTTCAGATGTAGTGCAAAGAAAATGGAAACTCCTTACAGAGAAACAGATGATAAAACTTCTGTAGACAAGCGTGTCAAAGCTGGAATGACAGAAAATAAAACTCATAGGATATGTCAGGTCTAATAACATGAGGTCTCAGCCAAAGCTGAAGCTGCAACAAGCACAAACAAAACAAAAAATAATTTGCCCATAGTATGTTTGGCCATTAGAAATGTCTCTGAAAAATCAGCTTATGCAGGATTTGACTGCCCACTCATATGCAGCTGATGACTCATGAACCAGCACTTCACTGCCCACTTACAAAGTGCTATAAGGCCTGTGGAGTACATGACTCATGCTCCAGTCGACATTGGATCCTACATCATATCTAGGTACAGAGCAAAGAATGTGTTTTGGTAGAAAACATTCTTATTTTCTTTTTCCCTGGAAACAGCCAAGGGCTTTGAATCATGATCCCAAGAAGAGTCTGGCAGAGACCACTGCCATGCTAATACACCTACATTCTTCTCCATAGAAAAGGCTGAGTTTGCAACTGCCTAAATCATGCCTTCCCAGGTATCTCTGGAAGTTCTCTGTCTTCGTTCTCTGTTTTAAACCATCCCAGATGTATATGAGCATGTGTTTCAAACTTATTGGTAAGAGCACTCAGAAATGGCCATACGTGCTAATTATAATCCAAATAATTAAAAAGGTTATAATTTGAGCACCAGCTCATCTCTTCTCTGCTTCGTTAACATCCCTCCTCTGGTTATGTCCTACTGACTGGACAGAGCACTGTGAAGGTAGGCAGCCCCTCAGAAACTGAGCATATAGTTTCTCTGATAATGTTACTTCTGCATCAGCAAAGTCACCCTGACTGCACAGTCACCTTCCAGGTCTACTTGCCATCAACGTCCACTACACTGAAATGTATTCTCACAGAGCTTATTTGGGTACTCTACAGTACTTTGCTGAGTGATGTAGTTAAAGTTATAGACATGGCTTAAAAGTTTTCTAGTGCTGGAATTCTACTGGAGTCAAATCATGTCTCCATCTGTCAGCATATCATGACCATCCTGCAAGTTCTTGCAGTGACTGCAATAGTTGTGAGCACAACACCGTGTCCTTCCAGTCTGGGGATTGGTCCAGGCGCATCATCTTCTGCTCTGTTGCAATCTAGATTTAGGCAGACAGGCCCTTAAATTCTACACACATCCCTAAGGGGGTTGATCCAGTATGCCTTCTCAGAATATTTACCCTCAACACTGAGATCATGGGAGGAGAAGAAGGAAATGTTGACTCTGATTTCATTACGGAGAACAGGAAAAGTGCAGATTCTGCATAATAGCTCAGTGATTAGAGCACTTGACCAGTAGTGGGAGAGCTGGACTTTTCTCAAAGAGCTGAAACCATTGCATTCACATCCCAGGAAAATTTCCTAACCACTGCCTTTCACTGGGCTCAAAGAAGGAAACAATCTCCAAGTAAGCCCCTGTGCAGCCAGGAATGCAAGAGAGAGAGGTCAAAGAAAATCAGAAAGTGATGCTGGCCAAGTGGTAACAGCACACATCTAAGGGAGAGGATCATCTAGGAAAAGATTTGGGATGCTAGTTCATTTTTTGTTTCCATTGGAAGAAAAAATATGGAACGAATTTCAAAATTCAACATTTTTAAGAGAAAGCTGCAATCACAGGAGAAATCAGAAACAGAAAAGTTTCCCCACAAATGAACTTGTATTTCTTGGAAACTTTCTCATTAAACTTAAGCTAAATGCTGTTTACCTTTATCACTTTTTCTATAACTCTACCATGTAGTCACAATATAAGGGTAAAATAACAATCAAAGTATATGTCACTCTGAAGATCTGTGCCATATGAGTAATATCCTGTGTGATGGCATATGGCTTTTATGGCATTACATGTTGTATCATTTCTTTCCCTTTTTGAAATTGGATCTTTACATTTGCTGCATACCAGAAGATCAGCTTGCTTTCTTGTATGCTCCCTGATGGAGTCAGAGGCCTCCCTAGGGTGACATGCTTCCACAGACTTGGGTGGCAGCCAAGTTTATTAATTTTGATGGAGCTGCAGTGATTCATGGTAATGCTTTATTTACTGCTGCTGTGGTATCTAGGAGCACTAGGAATGGCCCAGACCCACAATTTACCTTATCAGAAAGGTAAAATTTATATCCAAAGACTTCAAATGAAGAATCAGACAACAACAGATGGAGTTCTTGTAGACACAGCAAAATGGACAGCAAGGCATGGGGCCACTGGTAACATTAACAGGCTGTCTTCTGCTTCCATTGAACTCTCCTAAATCAAGGCATGTAGCCATTGCTCAGCTCCATATTACAAGTTCAAAAACAATGACAAAAGATCCTACAGTATTTTGTCCTCAAATAGCCTCCTACACATTCCTGATTCAAAGAAAGATAGCATGAAAACTCCAACACACGGCAACATCGTTCATCACAAAAGAATGCAAGCACATAGCACATGGGGAAAATGTNAGCTGGAGTGCATTCCATGACAATTTGAGAGAAATGTCAGTTATATTTATTTTTCCAACTGTTTGCAAGATTTTCTTGAACACTTATTACAGAATCGAACCACAGATCTACAGATCATTAACAGGCAGCATCCTGTACCCTTGAAAAATGTTAAAGTCCAGTCCACTTTTCACTGAATTTATGGGCCTTTCCTTGATTTTACTGTGAGTGGGGGCCAGGTCTGAGAATAGTAGAGGGGTTAAAATATATACTGAATTTATTTTAGAGGTTAAAGGAACTATTATACTCCCCCAAACTGGAATTCCAGAGCTTCTCAACAAATTGTTCCTGTATTTGGCCAATCAACTCTGTTTGAGCAGTTTTTTGAAAGAAAAATTAAAATTACTAGTCTTATTTTAAAACACTTGAAGACAGAAATAACATAAGCTACCGAGCTAAATGATCCCTTAATTCATTGCTCTTTGCTAAAACCATTTTGGAAGCACTGGCATTATCATGTATTTTGCCATTCCACAGAACTGAATCTACCCTCAGAAATACCTATTCCCTTCAGTTTCTTATCACCTATTGTCAAGTCACCTTTTTGCCCTTTTCCTGGTTAACAGAATAGTGCATTTAGTTCTTAATTCTTCCCTCCAAGACAAGGTTTCTAGAGCTGGAGGGATTTTAGAAGATATTTTGTACTCTTTTCCGAAGAGGAGCCCCCTACTTTTATACAACAATTCCAAACCAGTCTCATTAATACTGTAGGTAGGAGTACAAGTATCTTCATACTTTACAGGATACTCCTTTCCTTACATTCATAGAATCACAGAGTCATAGAATAGTCTAATATTAGACTATTCTATTCTACTCTAATAGTCTACTTCCTAATATCTAGTCTAAACCTGCCCTCTTTCAGTTCAAATCCATTGTCCCTTGTCCTATCACTACATGCCCTTGTCAAAAGTTGCCCTCTAGCTTTCTTGTTGGAGGTCTCTTTAGGTGTTGGAAGGTG